CCCCAAAACCCCAAAACCCCAAAACCCCTCTGATGAGCAATAAAATGAAATAACTCAAAGTTTGAAAATCTATCTATTAAAATTGGCTCACAATGTTAAATGTTAACTTGTGAAAACTATTTGACGAATGATTTTTAGAAATACTACAGCTTTTGTAGAACTGAGTGTTTAGAAAGTTCACCTAAAGTTTTAATATTTGTTATGTAATGAAAAATCTCAGGTCAAGAAGTACAGGACTGCGAATGCCATTCAGGCGACTCCAAGAATGTCACAAATCATTGGGAAGCCCCAAAGACTAAACACTACATTTCCAATCATTGGGCCGAAGATTTCTCCAAGTGCGAAGAACATATTGAATAGTCCTGAACACATATCGTTTAGTACTTCGCTATCTGAGCCAGTCTATACAGTTATTAAGAACTCTTACAAAATCTTGCGCCACATCGATCATCTCCTCCATCGGAGTAATAGCTAGATGAGAGTTGGCGATCCCTGCTAATAAAAGAGCCATTGCCAAAACTAACATGTTAGGTGTTAAGAACCATAATATGTAAGAGGAGCTATAGAACATCGTCAAAACCCCTAACAAAAAGCATGATAACATCGCTACTCTCATGTTTGAGAAGTAGTCAAGGTACATTGGACTAACAATTCAGCTGATCATGTATCCAAGACCAAGAGCAAGGAAGAAATATCCTGATTTTTGAGGCTCGATATTAAATGCATGCTTCATGTATTCTGCTAAAATGGGATCTATGAAAGCAAACTGAAATACAGCAATGAATATGCACAAACAAGCAAATATTATCCTCTTGTTACTCAGTAATTCTGAATATTTAGGTTTAATTACTTCATCTTTAACTTTGTCTTCCTGAATATTATCGACAAATTCAGGAATTAAGTATTTGATAATCAATCCGATCACTATAGAAATAGCAAAGAATGTAAGGAATGGAGCTGCACTTCCTCCAATCTCATATAAAACTGTACCTAGCACTGGTCCCAGACTCAGGCCAAGTCCTGCTGAAGTTTCTATGCAAGCAACAACAAAGTTAATTTTAGAAGGATAAATAAGAGTAAGAATAGAGTATGATGAAGTCTGAACCATGCTTGTTCCCACTCCCTGAATTATTCTCATCACTATAAATAGATAAATATATATTGTGGAGCTAATTGTATAGTTGTTCATGAAGAAACCAAGAAAAGGAACTGCAACAACAATCATTCCCCATTTACACATATTTCTTCTTCCAAGAGTGTACAGGTATTTCCCAACAATAGGGCAGAATATCGCCATCGAGACACTGTACACACAAAACATGAAGCCAAGGTATATCTGGTCGATGTTATGCTTCTCAGCATCAATAGGCAATAGTGGAGCTCATATCCCATAAGATCAATTTAATAGCATATTTGTGGTTCATATGTATATCATCAAAATAATAGAAGTCTCCTCCTCAGAACTTTTTAAAGTGGTTAAAGACTCATTTCCTTGATCTTGATCACCTCTAGTAATCAACGACTCTCTTAAATCTTTCTCAATCAGTTCAAGATCTTCTCTATTTCTAGATTTTCCAATGGTTTCCATTCCTTTTAAGCTAATTAAAATATTTCAACTTCTATCCACACTGTGGGGTTTTGGGGTTTTGGGGTTTTGGGG